AATACATATATATATTAATTAAAATAGTATTTGTGTGTTACCGATTTTGAAAATTGAATAGAGTTTGACTCAGAAATTCGCATAGTGTTTTGGAATGTCCTTGTACAGTTTGGAATATCTTTACGGATTAGACATTTAGTAAAGGATATGTATATTGTATAATCCTCTGTCACATGCAACACGACACAATGCTGACATAGTCTTTCCCTGTCAGAGATGGAGTGTATCATATTGCCTATTCTCTTTCTTCTGGTAGGAGATGCAGTTACGAAAAGAGTCGGAGCGGTAGGTGGTGAGAGACTCAGTGGGGGTTGAATGTCCAACTGGAGGACCTGGTCTACATGGATGAAATCTGTATTTGTTATGGGTAAACAGAAGTGCAACACAAGTCGAACGCAAAGTAAGCTGCAGAAGCTAATTGACCCAAATAATTTAGCATCAAAAGCATCGACAACAAACGCTAAAAATTGGCCCTTCAGAATTGATTATGAGGATTTTTGTTGGAATTGACGAGGTAGTTAAAAGCTTTGGTTATGTCTAGGTAGTATGGTTTCTACGGTTTTATAAATTGAGAATGATATTCAGCCTTGTATTAGGAAAGCTAATGTGGCCTCTATACGATTATACCAAGTATAGCGTAGGAGGAATATTATAAAGAAGACTATGCTGCACATTTGCAATACAAATGAAAAGTTAGTCTTGCTGTATATGAGCGAGACATATTATACTCCAAATTTTATTGCATCGGCGCAATAATTTTTACTAACAGGATTAACACACCAAATATATTAACTGCATGATGAATGTACGTCGGCCTGAAATAGTGTCCAAAAACGAGTCTAGAGACAGACTAGGCGAGCGCCATTAATATGTAGATTCGAAATTGTAAATGGCGATGGGTCGGTAGACCAAGAGAAAACCAGAAAACTCTAAAAAGAAATGAGCGTAAATTGGAATCCACAAGGTGCGAGAAGAAGAGACCGGGTGAGGCATCTTGATAAAAACTTGAAAGAGAGCAGTTGAAAAGTAAGCATGAAACTGGAAAACATTGATGGAGTTGGAGATAAATCAATTTAAGGATATAATATACAATTCAATTAAAAGAACCATAAAAGGATTATCAATGTTTTTACTTAAAATCTTATTATTACTAACACTTTATGACTAAGTTCTGCCTCCAAACACGATAAGCATAAGGTAAAAAACATGTCACTGTTACTATAATACTTATGGCACTGTCCAGAGGGGTTATTTGTTACGTATTTTTTAGTTTACAGCAAAATATGTTTGTACAATATGGAAACTAATACTCTTAAGATTAATATATTGTTGGGTTAAACGTTGGGCCAAGTCTGTGGCCAATAATTTGCAGTTTTTATTTTTAAGTTGAGCGTTCTGTTCAAATTGTGATTTAGTAACTTTGTGGTAGTTTAGCCTCGTAACTAGTTCAATGACAACGTGCGATAACTAACTTACAACCAAAGCTGTAATGGAACTGTTTGTAGTTGTAATTAGTTACCTAACTATTGAATTTACAAACAAACATGAGTTAGTCTACCCTATATAGATATACGTTTCAAGGAACTGCTTTTCCTTCGGGAAGAGTTAAAATATATGTTTACATTAGTTAACTAAGCCAAAAGAATTGGAGAAAAATAATACTATTTGAAAGAAAATTGTAGTAGTAGTTTAAGATTTCGTTCATGTTACTAAATATAAAGTATAGTATTTAAATATATTGTAAAACATTTTTTAATTGAATAAGTAGTTAGTATCTGGGATCGATTATGATGTATTTTGTAAGTGAAAAATCCTTAAATTTTTTTTTTACTCAAATAAAATGATTTAAGCTTTACTATTTCCCTAATAACGGTTTACATGTTTTGCAGCATATATTAATGAAATGTTGTGACAACAAAAATTACAAAATGTAACGCTCTGTATCTATTTCCAAATGAATTTGATAATATAATGTTTCCGACCTCTTAACTTTATCAACTGTTAAAATAGCAAAGAAATCATATATTCGGGTATTGTTGGATATAGTATTCAAACATTTCATTTAAATAATCTATGGTTTATATTATATTTTGTCTTTTTCCAGCTGCTATGAAAATGAACTTTAATAATTTTGAGACATATGATTTTTGAATGAATTGTTATGTTGTGATTACAGAAATAATTGTTTGGTAGCATTTTACTATGATTGAGTAACTTTTCTTTTGTGAATAATTAAATTATTTTCTGCTCATTATCTAGTCTATTTCTCTTTCCATAATTGACTTTTAACAGGTATACTCTAAAAGTCCACACTACGACTTATGAATTTTGTATCATTGTATAATTGTTCATATCAAATAAAGCATGCATTAGGAGTAAGGCATGAAAGATAGTAGAGTCATCGTCTAGCACAATTATAAAATTCTCTGTTTTACCCAGCGTTATACGTTACAGATGATGGTTAGTGTAAAAATATTATTTGTATGTTAAAGTAGCCTGGTCAAACAGGTTAGGAACCATGATCTTTAAATACATAAAAGGTTTTAAAGATAAGAAAGTTTAGAGAAATATTGGCTAATTACACGTCAAGAAGGGTGGTTTTAATTTTTAAGCCCCGCAAATGCAAAGTAATGAATGTCAGCTTAATTCCCTTGCTGAAAAGCCCGTTCCTCAATGAGCTCGTGACGTAAACTCTGGTGTAAATATTTTGAATGACTGTAATTGAAATTGTGGGATGTATTCAGGATTTAATATTAGGAGGATTTAATCAATATATACAGGGTGTTCTTAAAAACGTTTCAGAACTTTGGGAAATGAATTCCCATACTAAAAGGAAGAAAAAAGTTTATGGGAAGGTATGTCCAAAAATGCATATTTACCCAGATATCCGCCATTTTGTTTTTTAAACAAAAATATTTTTACCTGTGAAGTTTTTTATTCGATGATTATGAAATTTGGTCAACCTGTTAACATACACAAGAACTATAATAGAAAAAATAATAAAGTGGTTCCGATTGTAAATTTCAAAATGGCAGCCGTTTGAATTTTTCTAACCCAAATAACTCAAAAACGGCTAATTCTATGAAAAAATGTCAAGGATACTTTTTTTAGCATTTCCAATTTCCTATCAACCAAGATCAAAAAGATCGGACAAAATATAACGTTTTTTTTGGGTAAAAATAAGGCAAAAATAAGGGGTTCCCCGACTAACTTTATCTTAAAGATAGTGTTAAGTTAGTGTGGTTTGTGGTCTTTATTTTCGGAGTTTTGGTTTGTTTAGTTTTGGGGTTCCTGGTGTCAGTATATGGTTATATCTTCATCATGAATCGTAATCGCAAAATCAATTTTAGATACACTTAGTATTAACATATTCTCCTAACAACTGGTAACTTGCCAATCACATTAGAACACTTTGCTCCTACCCACACAACTGCAGTGCTTAGCACTTTGTCTAAAAGCCTCCAGTCTAGTATAATCATACTTACAATACCAAATTATCTGTAGAATATATTGTGCAACATAAAATCTGTTATGATAAAGTGTTGTACAAAAGTGTGTATTCATAAGATATAATATATAATAATCCGTTTAAACGTGTTAAATTTTGTTTTTGGTGAAAAGAAACATGTTTTGGTACCATTGGAAATTACGATTAAATTAAAACTGTCTAAAGACCTTTGGGTTTAGAGCTCATATGACAAGGTGCTTGATGTTTACTTAGATAATAGATAGATATCAACTGTATTATCTAAACAAAGCTCTGTAAATATCCTGTGTTTAATCGCATTTCGTATTGACCTGCATGCAATGGATAATTAAACATGCGTACATTGTTTAAACAGTCTCGAAAACACGATTAATCCCAAATCGAGTTGATCCCAAAATATAGTAATTAATAAAATTCAAATAACTCCTCTATAACTGGTTTTTCAGTTACTATCCCTTACAGTTTTGATAAGCCGCAAATGCACTGACGTCGCCACGAAGTCGTAAATAGAACACGCGTTAGATGATTGTGACAAATGACTGTTGCCAGAAGCTCGGTAAAGCTCTGCTAATTGGTTTTGAAGTTTGTAAACTAGAAGCTTTGCTCCACGGTCTAATTTGGGACATAATATTCCATTCATGTTGTGGGTAAGGAAATTTAGCATCCCTTATCTGTAAATTTGTAGAGTGCAAATTGTTTGTAAAAATAAATGATCTTAATTGTGTTTGCTTTGGATTTTACCAATAACATGTTCACAGTTACCTCTATTATTTAATACAACCGAAAAATGATGAAACACGAGAATAAGACAAATTTTAAAGTGAAAGGTAAAAGTGCAATAGTTTTAAAACCAACAAGACCATTTGCACCTACGTAACATTAAGTTTAGACTGTTACAAGATGATGAACTGGCGTTTTATCCAAAATGGTATGTGTATATTCTGATGAGGGTTAGTTTGGTATGAAACTCTTAAACTTTTTTTACAACTTAATTTTATTGTAACTACTTTTGCAAAACCATACAACAAAAGTATTAATTTCATTTGAAATTTGGCCGGATTTTATAATCAATTAAAATAATAGTATGTCAAAATAATTTGTTATGTTAGTCATGTAAACACATACCATCCTAAATTTTAAATTTTTTATTTGCATTTAGATACACATATCGTTTAAAAACCCATAAATATCCAAATTATCACATACGTATTTTTAGACTCTAATGATTGTACTACCATTTCCATACGCTAATCATCAGGGGAGTGAGCAGGTCTAGAGATAGAGCTCTGGGCTTCGGGTCAGAGGTCCCGGGTTCAAATCCCACCAATCCCTAATGGATTTTATCTATATGATAATGCCACGAGCCTCTTGGGCTAGCTTGAAGTACAGTTATGTTTAAAACACTTCCGGGCTAGAACCTATCGTCCTAGGATGTGAAGAAAGGACGTAAGAAAAATCATAAGCTAAGTACCTAAATCATGTTATAATTTTAGAAAAAAAGCAATACACCTACGTCCAAAGCTCCTTTGATGATCGGCCCCGCCTGACCGACATACAGGGTGGAGGCGCTGTCGAACACCAACTCCTGGGGCTCTCGTTTGACGGGGATGCTGTCGTACCTCTCGCAGTTGTAGTAGACAGTGACCTCCTCAGCAGTGACTCTCAGGGCGAACCTGGACCACCGGGTGAACGAGGAGGGTAGCAGGAAGGAGGCGATGGTCTGGGAGGCGTAGTGAGTGTTGACATCCGTGTACAGAAGACTGAGGTTTGACATGCCTATCCCTGCTGCTCCTAGGTGGACCCCCAGCTCGACCACCTGCAAATGCAATGCGTAGAGGAATATGTGGTGTTGTAGGTATAACGAATTAAGTAGTATGTCTTAGGAAAGTTATTTTCAATCTATTTTAGTGGTGGGTATGTTAATAAATATTGAGTCACTCTAACTCTTTTTAAAATACACGGTGTCAAATCTTTTTTTGGCTACCATCATTCTCAGTAAACGAACAAAATAATTTGACTTACTGACAGTTGTCATTTTTTTGTTAATCAAATCCTCTTTTTTATCATCTCTACTAAGGAATAAAATACAAGTAGACAAAGAAATGCACAATTTACTGCCAATGATTTAGCTACAAGAAATTTCAACTTTCTTACTTCAAAATGCACTCAGCTATTTCTATTCTAAGACGAGATTCTAAGATGTTAACACGAGCTATTTTAGGAATTTTTCAATTCTCATATTTAAAAACTCTCATGTCGTACTTTATAGTTTGTGACACATAAGGAATTAATCATTACTACTTAAAAATAATTAACAATACGTGTTTTATATAGGATCAAAAACCTTTTAGAAGGCGTATTTATTTTCCTTGGTGAAAAATTATTTGAAAACAAATGTACCACGATTTAATTTGTATGTGAAATGTTGGCACGAGACAAAGAAAAACTTTAACATCGTATCATGGAATAAGAAACTTGATCATTAGCTTGTACCTATAGCCTAAGATTCCATTTAATACTGCATATTTAAATTGTTTTGATCAGTATAACATTCATACGGTTAAAAAAGTTAGATTTTGTTCTAAATTGTAAGAATCAGTAATTGAATTGAAGAAAGATCGAGTACTGTGCCAAATGTAAGGAAGTGATTTTTTTGCAACACAAATTTTATTCAGTAGCACATTAGGTAGTACCAGTGAACATATACCATGTAAATAAACTGTATAAGATGTTAACAGAGATCTTGTTCGTATTCATGCAATCCATTCAATATGGATCTTCCACTAAATGTCAAATTCACTTGAAAGATTGGGATCAATAATCTTCCTTCTTACTGATATTATGTTCATCGTTTTTAAACGTTATGGAATAAAAATAATTTAAGTGTAGTTTTTATGCAAACAATATTTATTAATACCATATACGGTTTAAGTACATGTCTAGAAAATAATATTAACTCTACGTAAATTCCTGGATTAGTTGAATAATAAGTGAATAATAATTGTAAATGAAATTATTAATTACTTTTTCCAATTACATTAATAAATAATTGTATACTCTTGTCAAATATAAATTGTTTTTTTTTTTTTTAATTCTCAAACAATAAAAGTAAACAAATTTAGTGATCTTCGTATATAAATATTGTTTTAATATTAGGTTTTAGCTATCTAAACAAGTTTTCATTTATACAATCTCAGATGAATTTATTTCCTTTCAAAGTATTTTAGATTATACAGAACAGGTAGCTAGATATCCCCAATTCAAGATAGTGGAACAACTCAAAAACTTTTTTAAACATACTAAAAAACAACTATTAGATAAATTTGTCAGCACCGCAAAGGTAGTTTCCTCTCCAAAAAAGTACTTATCAAAGAAGGAACTTCAAGTTAAACATTTTCTCACCGTATCCAAAGGGTTGACGACTGCAAACAGGAACCCTCCCTCCCGGTTGGACAGCTTGGCCGTTGCTGTGATCGAGAACTCCGGGTAGAACCTCTCTGGAAGGTAGAGTCTGTAGGGCGACTTTATGTCTGATCCAGGGCGAAGACCCATAGCCGGGAACCCCTCCAGGCCGTAGTCAAAGAACACCGTGGTCGGATCATCGAAGGGGATCTTGATCGCCTGTAGAAGGTCTTTTTCTGTCATGTCCACTGAAACAAGATTGAGTATTTTAAAGTCTTTTTCGTCACATTATACAGTAAATCAAATTTACCGATATTCTTGCAGAGAGTAAAAATGCATATCATGTGTCTTATTAGTAGGCTCTCCGTGTAGGTTGACAATTATTTGTCATATTTGAACATGAATATTGCACTTTTTCAATTGATATTAGAAAGGTCAACACGTTTTCTAAACAACATTTTAAGTGCAGTCTTCATTACGTTATACAACAATTTATTATACTGAAAAATTAAAAAAATCTCAAAGAAGATCCCAACCTCGATTATTTATCCTTATCGAAAACAATCCACAATGACTTTTAAAACAATAACATTAACAACATTTCCACAGCTAAAGAATATTTTTTTTAATTATGATTATAGTTCAATACCACCTAGACCTTTTATTTTAGAGGTTTGTTTAACAGTTAAGTTATGTTTGTAAAGGAGACGCATACATATCAATCAGTGATAGTTGGAGCAATTCTGGTGTTTGTTAAGGCAGAATTTGGTTTATTTATTTATACTGGTTTGTTTATTTATTAAATTTGTGAGATGACTGTCCGTCTGTCCATCTGTCCATCAGGCTTAAACACTGGACCGATTAAGGTAATATTTAGCTCAAAGTATGTATACTGTATGTGACAAAGGAGGAGATTCACTTCTGTAGATTATTTTTGGACTACTATCTGCTCTCGTGAAGTCTTAAGTATCACGACAAGGATTTTAAAAGTAAATATTTATTCGTCTTCATGGCAGAGTACGACATTATCAATTGGCATATTAATGTCACATAGCAGAACTGTCAAATCCACGTATTTTACAAAATTACAGACAGTTAGTGCAAAAAAATATACAGCCTACAATAGTTTGCACAACATATGTAGTAGCATTTTTTTAATTGTGTCATTAATTATGAAATAAGTTGAAATCTATATCCGTTGTTGTGTCAGCCTATGCATATGCCTCGACTTTTATTATTGTCACACTAATGAGAATAATGTTATTTATATTTTTTGACAGTAGGGAACGTAACTAACATAACTAACTTTTTAACTGAACATAACCTGCAATAATTATTAACGATAATGGTTTACTATCTCGATAAACGTTATGGTCAGGATTTGCTACACCGCTGCTTGAACTAAACAAAGGATAATATCATAAAACTAAGGTGTATGCAGTTTAATTTCGTTTCTGAATCCAAAGATATATGTTACTGATTTTATTTAATCAATGGTAGTTTATAAATTAATGTATTGCAATAAACAATAAAACTGGTAAAAATAACAGGTTAAATTGTGTTGTTTTTTATGTATTATTTACATTGAGGAAAGTCCTATCATAGTTACCGGTAAAGGAATTCTGTTTTATTGCAATAAGGAGTGAATGTTTTCTATTATTTAAATTTGTCTTACTGTGATATTTATCTGCAGGCAACGAGGCCTTGTAAAAAACGAAGAGTTTGGGATAAAATGTCGTTTATGTAACTAGGTGGTGTTTTAACTAAATAAATATTTTAATAAGAGTATCTATTTAAAATTAAATTATATATAGTTACACTATGTCACAACTGCATCAGCGCTTTAAAGTGTTGTACTAGTTACCCACTTTTTACCCACTTACTTGTGTTGAAAGAAAGACATTTTATCAAACTGAATTTTACAGTTAAATTTTGTTATCTAAACGTATGGTGCATGTGAAACTAATTTACGTAACATATGTTAAGAAGAATTTATTTTCTCTTCCACAGTATATGCACGGTGGCATTACCAAGAAGCGTGGACGATACGACTCTGCTACCTAGCGGCGAATCGTGGAACCTCGACAGTGTAAGGTCACAAATATCCGACAGAGTGCTTAAGCTTATATTTACCTGGTAAACATTGTTTCATTCAAACTTAAATTTGTGTTCTCTTCCTTAATTGCGCACCATTGGTTTGATTTTTAATAACAGCTTGCTTGTCCTGATCGATAAGAAAATTTTATTTATATTATCAACATAACCCAAATACTATGAAAACATATAGGGTAAGATAACTTATTTTTATTATATAATTTTACCTAATTATAAATTTTTTACCTTTTACTACTATAAAAATCTGTGTAATTGCAATAAAAATATTTTTTAGTTAGTTATAAAATGATTATTATTTATTTATGCAATGAAAAACCTTTACCGGTAACGTTAATTTTTATATTTATCCCTCGATCTAAAATATGTTGTTGCTCACAAATTCGAGATATTTAAGTCATACACTTGACAGAATTTGATTATTTGTCATAACAATTTGTTGCATGCCGATTGAAGACAAACATGTTTCACTAAATAGACTAAAAGACTTAGATATATTGTCACATTTAGGTTGACAAGTATTTTATAATATAAATTGATTTATTTGAATACAATCTATTTACAAGCGTATACATTTTTTATTATCTTTATAATAATTTATAATGTCTGCAAATACATAGCCCATTATAAAATAAGTCTTAACTGTGTCACATAGTCAAATCAAGAAAGTAATTGTTTTACAGCCTGCTAATTTGTTTCAATAATTAAGCTTCACGGAAGAATTTAAATTTTCCTCACTCGCAAGAAATGAAGAGCTGTTTTTGCTCCATTAAAAGGCCACAGTTCAAGAGTGTTCATGCAAAAAGGTAGCACTTTTTGTTGATTGCTATCTCAACGTTTGGATCTCAACAAATTGAGAATTTAAATGTGTGAAACGTATAATAACGTTCAACGGGTTATTTATGCTGTAGGAAATATTTTGATGTGAAATAAACTTCAATGCTTTTTGTTTTGGATACAAATAATACAAATTTTATTCGGTTAATGTTTGTTTCGATTACAGATTTGATATACTACAGTAAAACACTTTTCTATAAGTATCGGTTTTAAAAGAACGTACCCTCTAGGTACGTACAACTATAGGCCCTACTACAATAGTATGTCAAAAAGTCATGTATCATAAAGCTTTTAAAGAATAAAACATGCAGAGAAAATCATTTGAATTATTATCTATATTTTCTTTGAGCCAATTTTGGTGACTTCAAATTATACATGAATTACCAAATAATCAATATTAGCTATTGTAAACTAAATTTTATGTGTTATTATGTACCCTAAGAACCTCGAAATCGATGTAAACAACGTTATATTACTCTTTGGACAAGCAAAACGCGAAATTGTACTCCATTTGTACCTCTCAATACTGGTTCGAGATGGGAAACAACACATGTCAATGGCTGTAATACATTTACTCACTTATTTTAAGAACAGTGGAGTATTTCCAGAAAATCCTAAAATAAACTGAGCACAAAGAGATTTTGTTCGTTTAAACATACTTGAGAGCTTTGATTCGGAAAACTCTCGCTTAGGATATTTTTACTTAACTAATGAGTAAGCTGGTTTGTTTTAGCTTGTTTATTTAAGCTGATTTTGCTCTGTTGTGTATGATAGTTTATACATGGATTATTTACTTAAACATGATTCTACATTTTACATTCATTAACTAATTTATATTCACAATATTTTATATTTTAGGGAGAAATTTTATATTTTATTTACCAGTTTAGAATATCTAAAATCATTTTGAAAATAAAATTTAATAAATAATTGTCATAATATTGTTAGAAATATTGATAAACAACACACTTTGAAATATGCGATGTACAAAAATTAAGGTCTTGAAAAAAACAGATCTGTCACTGACAACTGTAAAGGTAAATTAATTGGTAGCTCAAAATGGTACCATTTGCTTTTTTAAATTAAAGTAGCTATACCTAACTGTTTGGAAAATTATTTTCTAAGCAATTACACAACATTTTGGTCAATGGCTTTCGAGGTATTGTTGTATTACATTTTTACACGTGACAGTATCTTAAGTGTTTTTCCAAATATTTTATTGCAATATTCAGTATATGAAACCTGAACCTCTAACACCTAATTGAATGGTTTCTGATAACAGTAAACTGTTCAACATAAAAATAGACATTCCATACTTGAATTATTAATAAAACTAGAACAGATTACAAGTACTGGCACATACATTGAAATTTTTTAGGCAAGCTGACTAAAATGTATGACTGTTTCAAAAGTAAACAAGTAAATTTGGTGGGTAAATTAACTATTTAGCTGAGTCCATGTCGTACAACGGGGACGGATACTTTGACGGCTCTGTCAAGGCGGGAAGGCGGGGCTACCAGCCTCCCGTTGGTCACAGAGAGAGTTGGTAACCGATTGAACACAACCCTAGGATAAGATAACAGTAAGACATGAATAAAGGCATTTTCCTTGCTGCGCTCAAGATGCCCACTTTTTTCAATTTGTTGATTAAAAATTAAAAATTAATAATGATGAATAACCAAAACACATTTTTAACATGATTTATGATGTAGTCCAGGGACCACTTTATGAAATATATTTTAAATGTAAAAATATTAGTTGATATCGAGTTTCCTTTGTATGTTTTCTTTGTTTGTTTTTTTACGTAATAGTTAAAGAACGGATTGTAAGGCATATATCACAGAGATCAAGTGGTATTTTTATGTAGAGCTATCCTAGTTTAATGTTTGTTAAGGTATGTTAGGAATTTTCTCTGTTGACCACACAACTTGTTAAAGTGGTCAGTTAGTATTTCCAACAATAATGTATTTTTTTGTATTTTTATGGAAATAAACTCATTTATTAATATATTCATTCATTAAAATAATAATGCAGTTATAACATAGTATACACTGTATATTCTCTACATAGTAAACCTCTTATTTAACAATGTTTCTCGAAGAGGATACTCAGTATTAGTGAGTGTGTTACTTTACTACTTTGCACCGGGCTTTGCGAAAACACCGGCTTTTTAATTAGCGCCTCGTACATCGGGCTTTTAGCAAATGAAGGATCACATCCAGCAATGAGGGCGAGTTTTTATTTCCGAGCCTTTCATCTGTTCACAATTCTCATGATATGGATCAATAAAGCAGACGTT